GAGCACAGTAGATCTTGTCATGGAGGGGAGACAGCTTGTTCATCACCCTGTTCACCACCGACGCCCTGCAGGGAGGGAGGAACAGGGGGAGTTTGGCTTTGAGCAAATGCATCTGCACCCTGCTACTTTTTGTATTTCTGGATGGAAGCTCAGCTGTGTGTCATTGTCTCAGTAACAATCAACACCCAGCATGCAACGCTACTGACAGCACTTCATTTCTACTCTATAGAATTCTACCCTCTGATTCCAGTGTCTTCATTGTGTGATCTTTCTCTGCTGACATTTATTCCTTAAGGCTCCGTAGTTCTACGTGTAACCATCTGATAGCCCACAGTTAAGTGTACTTGTCTAGCAGACTATCCTGTTACAGTAGCCACTATTATTTTATTCCATGTGTCCATCCAGCAACATTGGTGGATCCAAATGTTGTAAGAAAAACATATATGATGTAATTTCGTTCTAATCATCCAAAATGTCTAAACTAGTGACACTGCATGTTAAAGACGAACAGGTGGAAGGATTTAGTGTCAGTAAGCATTCATGCAAATACTATCTAACACATATAATACTATGTTTCCTCAGAGAGAGAGGCGGTATCATGCAGGTAGAACTGGACCGCGCATGCAGACGCAAGTAGGCGCGCACGCGCACGCGCGAGCTCACCCTGCAGACACTCTGGAATCAGACCCCAGCACGACCCCTCCGTCAAACTCTACGGCGATGATGGTGGTCTGCAAACAGAGGTAGAGGTCCTTCAGGGTTCATATGCAGCGGTTCTCGGCGCGGTCTCCGACGTGTAGGACGTCTACTTACTCCGGTCTTCACCTCCTGAGACAACCACTCCGTCCCCGTCTCCTGCAACATGCTGATCCGCTTCTGGTACCGACCGAGCGATGTTGAGCCAAACGTTGACTCGAGCAGTCCGGGTTTACGACGTTTTCCTCGGGGAGCCTCTTTGAGTCTCTGGACGTGTTATCGACGCGTTTGTCCGCACGTCACACGGACTCCATGTTGTCCTCAATCAAATCGAAATTGAAAGTGAAGTTGTTCCTCCTGCAACGAGCTGCAAACACGGACAGTGTGTCCCGATTTGCACTGAAATGCACTTAAACCCAGCGAACATTGAGTCCTCTTTGAGGGGGGGGACCAAATCAGTTGTCAAAGCCTTTATAAAAGTGTTATGAAACGTGTAAATAACTCATCACAACAATAAATGTTGATTAACAACAAAAACGTTTTTTTGCAGTAAGATAGAACTAGAAAGAATAGATAGTTGACCTCTGACAAACGTATTTATTGTACAGCGAGTGTAGCTGAGTGTAGGAAGAGAATCGATTGAGATGACTTTATTGTTTACCAGCTACCCAGCAGCCTCTCTGCCTCACTTCTGGCCTCCAGGGGACCATCTGTCCAAGAGGACAGCAGGTCGGCTGAGTTAAGGGGTCCGTTCCTGGGGACCAAAGTCTCCTGCTTAACAGGTGTGAAGCCCCCTTTCTTGGTCAGGTGGTGATACGCGTTGGTTGGGTCCAGTTTAAGGGGACACGTTACCAGACGTCCCCGAAGACACTGGAGACAGACGGTTAGCTGTTAGCTGTAGCAACGCCAAAGGACCCCAGTGTGGGGAGTCACTCACTATTATTATAATAAATAAAAGTAAAGGAGTAAAAAGGAGGAACAACAACAATGGAGCTACAACCATAAAGTGTTTCTTCACAATCCAGATAACATCCAATACATTTTCTTTCCATCAAATAATTGATTTAAAAGCTTTACAGCTACAGCGGAGGACGACAGAGCTCTAAACAGAAAGCAGAACTTTAACTGGATTGATTGTATTGACACATGTTGGACTGTGTCTTTTTATTCTGGTCCCTCCGACACTTTTGATTGAAGAACTCGTCTTTAAGTGCGTTTCAGACTGTGTGACGTACTAACTGTTAGATTGTGGGCCACAAAGTGAATCCACAGCCATGAAATAGTCAAAACAAACGCTCTGCATCCGAGTACATTCAAACCATGAACTGATTCAGGAAACAAGGACGGTCATTTGTAGAACACGTCGTATAATAATGATGAATATATTTTAAAGCGCTCAACAAAGAAAGTAGTACAAACCATTTTTACAAAGTAGACTCTTCATTTATATTTCAAATATTCCCAAACACGTAAAATCAACTACACAAAATGTGATCTGTAAAAAGTAAAAGGCTGATGGAGCCGTTAATTACAAGAGATGGAAGTAGCATTTTGTCGTTTTTTAGGATATTGATTTTATAACAACTAGTTTCACCAGATCAATGAAACTTATCATCACTGTTTCCACATTTACAATTTGCCATTGGCAGTAAACTAATCATGTTCATCGTCTTGTTTTTAAGGAGTGTGTGTGTGTGTGTGTGTGTGTGTGTGTGTGTGTGTGTGTGTGTGTGTGTGTGTGTGTGTGTGTAGTGTGTTACATCCCAGTCCTATACGGTACATTATTGATGAGATTGCGGATCAGGAATTTCAAACAGTTACTGACATAAAAATAAAAAACAAAAGTCAAAAATTCATTGTTTGTTGGACGCTGTCACTCGTTGTGAAACTTGGGCAGCTTGTTGCCGGGGACAACCACGTGCTCCACCCCAGTTTCCGTGATGACCACAAGGTGAGCCACGCCTCCGCTGACGTTGTCTCTGCCCATGGCGAGAGCCAGAGCTGTGACCCAGAGAGAAGCAAAGGGAGGACAGAGCAGGGGGGGGACGGACAGCAAGCAGGACAAATAGAGGTTTAACAACTGAGGGTAAGCAGCATGCAGCGTTTATACACCTCCTAAAGGCTGTCCAAAGGTTGTGTGTGTGTAGTGTGTTACATCCCAGTCCTATACGGTACATTATTGATGAGATTGTGGATCAGGAATTTCAAACAGTTACTGACATAACGATAAAAAACAAAAGTCAAAAATTCATTGTTTGTTGGACGCTGTCACTCGTTGTGAAACTTGGGCAGCTTGTTGCCGGGGACAACCACGTGCTCCACCCCAGTTTCCGTGATGACCACAAGGTGAGCCACGCCTCCGCTGACGTTGTCTCTGCCCATGGCGAGAGCCAGAGCTGTGACCCAGAGAGAAGCAAAGGGAGGACAGAGCAGGGGGGGGACGGACAGCAAGCAGGACAAATAGAGGTTTAACAAATGACGGTAAGCAGCATGCAGCGTTTATACACCTTCTAAAGGCTGCATGGGCACCAACTACAACATAGACGTACATCAAACCACCCAATTTGAGTGCAACCAGAGGCCTTTGACCCATCTGAGCGGTGGTTGCCCTCAAATTGAGTGTTTTTCATTTCTAACTGTAACAAACCGAGCAAACAACCAACAAAGACTTCTTCTCATTTTCTGCATTATACTGGAATCGTAGAATCACAACCCAATTTCCCCCCAAAAAACACAAAACAAGTATCAGCGTATTTAGGTCTGCGCGCTCAAGTAAACGACCACGACAGTACCATTAGTGGCAAACTGCAGGCATTCCTCTCTGCTCATGTTGGGTTTGTATTTGGCGTCGACGTAGCCGTAGATGTAGGTGCTGCCTGAGCCTCCGATGGTCACCGGCTGACCGACCAACATCCCACCAAGAGGCACCACGTACACCTGGGGAGGGACGCAGGGTATCAGGACTGCAGCCACACGCCAGTAGGTGGAGTTACTTTGGACCGCTGTGTCTCTGCTTCCTGTGTGACTGTCACCCCGACCAGCCCCCACCTGAGGGCCCTTCTTCCTGTCCCAGCCTGCTGTGATGAAGCCCGCCTGCAGCTCCTCTTTGTTGTTGTAGCACAGTTCCTGCAGCACCGATGCTGCTGCTATCACCAGTGGAGGGGTCTCCATCTGGACACTGTGGAATGGGGGGGGGGGGGGGGGGGGCATTACCACAATGAAGAGACTTTGAAACCATTATTTTGGGCTCTCTAATGATTTTTTATAGCTGTCAGTATAACAACTAGTTTGTTAGTTGGTTTTGCACACAACTCTGTCAACTGTCTTCTCCTCTTGGAGGAATAAAAATATGATTAACAAATTATTATTTTAATGAATGATGTGAAAATGTGATTCAGCTGACTTGCTTGTGCGCATAGTTGCTAAACATGTGCTATTGTATTGATATGCGTGTGTGGCACCTATGGAAGGACAGGTGGAACTTTGCAGCCTTGGTGACGGCCTGAGCATCTGCTAGTGAGCCGGCCATGCAGCAGAAGATCTGGTCATGAACCTGGACCACCTTGTTGATGGTCTTAGATGACACATATTCCCTGAAGAGAGAGAGAGGAATGTGATGAAGAGACTTGGATCACCGGCCCTCGGTTGTGTTCCTCCACCACAGTCACAGCGACATTCCTGTTTCCTACAAATATGTTTAACAATGTCGGCATCTGCAGTGTATCTTCCCAGCACGCTCACCCTCCAATGGAAGCCCTGGAATCTGAACCAATCACAACCCCTCCATCAAAAGTGGCAGCCAGGATGGTGGTCTGGGGGAGAGAGGGGGGAGGGGGGGGGAGGTTCTCACATGCAAGTAATGAATAAGTAGTTACATCAAGCCAAACGCAGCAGGAGGCTTACGTGTCCATGTCAGCCACTCTGAGCGCCGCCGCTATGCATCATGGGATTTAGAGTTTCTGGGCGGATTTTTTTAAACAGAATAAATGTGTAGCCTGTCGCTTTTTTGCATATTCCGTTCTAGAAGATGTTGTACAGATGTGACTCGTTCAGGTCCAACGTGCAAACACCTGGGATGTTAAAACACGCGACAGGTCCGGTCCTCGTAGTGTTTGGTTTCCTTTCAGGTAACTTAAAGTCTCACCTGTTCATCCGCAGAATCACGTATCGATCATTTCATCCTTCAGCGGGTTCTACGGTGACACTAAGGAGCCGGTCCGGGTTTACTCACCCCTGTGCTGACTCCTCTGACCCGCGAGTCCACGCTGCGTTTCTCCATTTTCACAGCAAAACCGAAAGAGAAGAAGGAGGCGACGCTCCGAACAGCGACCTCAGGCGCATCGAGACGCGCAGAGGAGCCGCAGACCAGGATCCACTATGGCGCTATCAAATGTCCTCCACGCTCCTGCAGCGGGGTTCAACTTCGACCACGCAGCCAGGTAGGAGCTTCTGTTTGGCTCATAGGCAGCAGATTGTGACTTAGATAGAAAAACCAATGAAGCTGTGTTACTCACGCAGCTTTCAATCCATTTGAGATGCAAAGTGAAAGTAACTTTCCCTGCTTGTTTGTCACGTTGATCAATGAAACGACTTAGTGGTGATTTGTCCATATTATATATATATTACATACATTAATAAGTTGACCCCTGTCTCTCCCTCCCTCTCCAGGAATGCTGAGTTAGAGGGTCTGTTTGATGCACAGATACCTAAACCTGTGAAAACAGGCACCACCATAGCGGGAGTGGTGTTCAAGGCGAGTACACACACCTGTGTACATCTGCATTTACCCTGAATTGCATTATTTAACACTGTTAAAGTCGACCACACTGTTTCCTTTCCCTGTCATCTCTGCATAACTGAACAGGACAGTCCGTGTTAACAACAATGATGATGAATACATAAATACACTGAGGGGATCTGCCCTGTGTATCACAGCACTGCTGGGGCCTGTTTAGCTCCAGTGGGACCACTGAGATTTAAATGTCTTGTTCTAGTGTAAAGCAAAGCGTATAATTGTATAACAATTAGAGTAACACACGTCCCGCTCGGTGTGTGTGGGTGCAGGATGGAGTGGTTCTGGGAGCAGACACAAGAGCCACATCCAGTGAAGTAGTGGCTGACAAGATGTGCTCCAAGATCCATTACATTGCTCCAAATATATAGTAAGTCTTGTATACGACACACTGAAAGTAACAGGAGATCCACCTTTAAAATACTCTCACTGTTATCAGAATGAAACGTATGTTCCTTTTTGTGGACATAAGTCTCCTTTACTTGTGATTTCCTACATATCCCAGAATGCCTTAGTGCCCTCAGATTAAGAACTTAGGTTCTTGTTCTTGTGGTGCATTCTGCACTATTGAGGCTACTGCAGGAGATGGAATAAGTCGCTGCGACTCTTTGGGTATAATGGATTTCTATGACTGCTGAAGCAAAACAGTTTCAGAAAGGATGCCGCAGTTCCTCTACTCTCTCTTTCCCAATTCCCTGTAGCTTTTTGTCATATTTTCCCTCAACTCTCTATTCACAAAACACTCCTTCCTCTCCTCCTAGTTGTTGTGGAGCAGGAACAGCAGCAGATACAGAGAAGACCACTGAGCTCCTCTCCTCCAACCTCACCATCTTCTCCCTGAACAGCGGGAGGAACCCTCGTGTCGTCATGGCCGTCAACATACTCCAGGAGATGTTGTACAGGTTTGTGTAGCACATGAGCTTGTATCCAACGGTGTGTGAATGAGTTAAAGTACCCGTTAAAAGCCCTGTTCTGATCCGTGTGTTCCTCAGGTATCACGGCCAAATTGGGGCCAGTCTTATACTGGGAGGAGTAGATTGCACTGGGAACCACCTGTACACGGTGGGGCCGTACGGCAGCGTGAATACGATGCCGTACCTTGCAATGGGTACGTGTGTGATGGAACAATATTCTCTAAGCATCGTGGCTCTATAACATTCACCGTTTTGAATAACATTTGAGTTTGCTGGACTCATTCAATCGATTCCCTCTCAGACCACATGTGTGTTTCCTCCTGCAGGCTCTGGGGATCTGGCTGCTCTGGGGATTCTAGAGGACGGGTACAAACCCGACCTGGAGGTACGCCTCCTGGACAGCTGTTGTTACACACTGTGACAAGGATTGATAGTCAGGATAATATGGAAAATGTTTTTAAAAAGCATTTATTTCTGTCACTATTGGATGACAAATTATAAAAACTGTTATTTGGAGAATTTCTCTCTCTGTCATTTCCCTGAATTCTTGTAACTCTCAGCTGGACAAGGCGAAGGAGCTGGTGCGTGCCGCCATCCACGCGGGAGTCATGAATGACCTCGCCTCAGGCAACAACATCGACATCTGTGTCCTCACCAGAGGAGGAGTGGACCACATCAGACCGTACCAGGTGTCACAGTACAAAGACAAAAGGTACGAGTGTGACTGAGTTCTGCTGCATGGGTCGATTCTTAAAGGAGCTGTGTGCAGGATTCAGTCTCTGGTGATGAGGCTGCAGATTGTTTCCCTTCCTTTCCAAGTGAGTCAAATGATGTAAAACAAGGACGTCTCTCTAGAGCCAGTATTCAGTCTGTAGAAACATGGCTGCTCATGGAACTCCATGAAGAGGAGCCGCTCCTGTAGATATGAAGGGCTCATTCAGAGCTTAAGGAAACACATGATTCTTAGCTTCAGGTGATTATACTTCATTGAGAACATGCTATGAATACTACATTTACTTTCTTCATAAATACCTCTAACTCTACACACTGCGACTTTAAAGGTTTCCCTCTCAGAGCGGTAGATATCAGACTGTATGTGATTATACAATAACATGTTTGCTTTTCAGTTATTGAATCCCTCTAACATCTATTCTTCTATTCTAGGAAAACAAAATACAAATATGGTGCAGGCACAACAGCGGTTCTGACGGAGAAAGTAGTCCCTGTAAAGCTGGAGGTTGTAGAGGAGACTGTGCAGCGGATGGATACAGCCTGATCCGCGATGCAGTCACACCTTATAACAACACGTTTAGCAGAAAAGTGTGAAGGCTTTTATTGTGTTGCTTGGTCATGCACTTAAAAAATAAAATGCAAGCAGTGAAAATCAGTTAATAAACATTGTCATGGTTTCTATTCCTCACTGTGAGGTGACACATGAAACTGTTTCATGTGTCTCAGATGAAAAAATTCTAAAATAAAATAAAAATTCAAATTGAATGAAATTCTATTCCATCCCTGTTGCTGTTTATTTTCATATTTTAAAATTATCTACTGAATTTATTATACATGTAATATTTCAAGCCTAAATGAGTGCATTTATATATACTAATACCCCATCAACCCGACTACAGTAGATACAGTGTATTGTTATAAATATGAATTTAGAACACGCATTGATTGCGTGTTTGAATTCTATTACACTCCATTTACATATTATGCAATTATTTACTGAATGTAATATTAAGATTAAAGCAGGGCCAAGGGAAAAAACATGGACACAAAAGGGCAGACATGGACCGGGAACTCACAGGCAAGATGACGACAGACGAGCAGAACGTCCAAAACATTCAATGACACCACAAGGGACAAGAGACACACGTGTCTTAAATACACGGGGAAGGTGCAGGTGATGCAGGTGGAAACAATCATGGACACGTCAGAAAACAACATGGATGACAGGACAAGGCAGGAGGTGAAGTTAAACGAGGAACGCCAGAGGCATGAAACTGCAAAATAAAAACCCAAATCGTGACAAAATGTCAATACTTCATCAACCTGACTGGAGTAGATAAAGTTCAATTTAATATTGCAGCTATATATAATATATTTTCAAGCCATATATATGCGGTGATACTCCATTAACCCGACTACAGTAGATATTGTGTTATGAAAATGAATTTCAAACACCCATTGATGACGTCATAGACTTCTGCTTTTCTCCAAACCTGATCGCTGCTTCTTGCTTAGTGACTGATGACGACACACACACAGTGCTCTCCTATTGGTCGATGCGATCTGCGTTGTTTTTATTAACAGTACGATTCTAACCACAGTTTTCTTTCATTTGTTTCTATCAAATCAGGTTATAAGTTATATGATGACCAGCTGAACGTATTCGTGTATACTTGTTGGTTTTATGTAGCTAGCTGGCTCTTTTAGCATTTATTTACAATAAAACAGCTTTTAAAACCTTTCGCTTTCGAATTCATCGTCCCTTCCCAGGAAGTTATCCGTGACGCTTCTTCAGAGACTTTCGTCATTTCGTTAAACTTAAGGAGCAGAATATAATTACAATATAGTCGAATACATAATGGCTCTTTTCCAAGTATCTGGTTTGAAGTCTTTTGCTGAACTCCGTGAGCAGATTCTTCCAGCCAGACAGACGCATCTCTTCGACCGAACCAACCACTACAACTTCGGGACCAAAACGCAGGAATTTGCTGTCCCTCTGGGTGTAGACGTGAGTCTCATTTCACCGAGTTTTGCTACAAAATGAAAAGTCTGCATCGTATCAGGTGATCCTGATGCAACAAGCGTGACGCGTCAGACGCGCGGTGGTTCAACGTCTTTTACGCGTCTGTGGTCGCGTTCGCTTCTCCTGCAGCTTCAAATGATGCATTCATCTTACACGTTACTGTGGAATAACACACATAGACACACACACACGGCACCTACACGCGTGATTCCACCCACTGAGATCCTCTTTGCTTCTATTTCAGCCTTCAGGGTTTCTAGGAACCTGCAGCCGTGATGGTGGTGTGAGTATAGACCTGAACCACGGGACGACCACCCTGGCCTTCAAGTTCAGACATGGAGTCATTGTGGCTGTGGACTCCAGAGCCTCAGCAGGCCGTTACTTGGGTAGACACGTTTTTATTTCTCATGCATCATATCACAGATGTGTGGAGCTTTGAAATGTAACACAGAGGAACACAGAACAATACAAAGTAAATGAGGCAACGAGAGAAACTCTGAGCTCACAGAATGTCTTCTTTACACAAATGTGTCCCGCTCTGCAGCGTCCAACGACGTCAACAAGGTGATAGAGATCAACCCCTACCTGCTGGGCACCATGTCGGGCAGCGCTGCAGACTGCCAGTACTGGGAGAGACTCCTGGCCAAAGAATGCAGGTCCGTCTGCAGTGGTTTGAACATCAATCTGTCCATTCTGACATGTAATGCTCTGTGTGTCTGTGTATTGATACTAAAATGTGTTCCATGCAGAGGTGAGTAAAGCTCAAGGCTTAACTGATCACTGACCTCACAAAACAACTTTAATCAAGTATCCAGAGCAAAAGATAACAACACACAAATGTGTAACGTGAAATGATGCAGTGGTGATATTTTGGACGGACATGCGTGTAAAATGAAAGGTGACAGGTCGACCCTGGAAACAACCCTGATTGATGTTTCATTTGTTTGGTGACTTGGTCCCTCCAGGCTGTACAGGCTGAGGAGCAACCACAGGATCTCTGTGGCTGCTGCCTCCAAGCTGCTGTGCAACATGATGCTGGGCTACAGAGGCATGGGCCTCTCTATGGGAAGCATGATCTGTGGATGGGACAAAGAGGTGAGCTGTGCCTCTGAGTCTCTGTGCCAAAACAAAGGAGAATCCTTTTTCTTCACTTCCTGTGAAGCAGAGCCTAGAAATAGAAACGTCCTCGCTGCACTAGAGGATTGTGAGGTTGTTTTCTGAGGCAGAATGTTTAATGTGGATGTTTTATGCTCCTGCTGCTTTATTTATATTCAAACTGCCTTCATCATTGTAGAAACTTTACAGTCACTTGTCAACATGTGAAGTAGCTCTAGTTCAACAGGCCCACGTTTAGTTTTGGACCTACGGCATCGAACCGGTTGGCTTTTCTTTGCCGGTTTGCATCCTTAATTTAACAAGTTACTGTGAGGAACTTTTAACTGGATATGATCAAATCAATACTGAATCCTCTGCATGACCTCCATCACTAAACTGCCCAGCAAGTAAACAAAGGTGATCCAAACAGGGAGGAGGGTTGATGCTGTGGAAAAGGTTTGCATGGATTAACACATGTGACATGTGGGGACTGGAAGGGGCTCTCAGGGAGCAGAGCCACCATGGACAGGTCCTATCACACAATGTTAGTGACAGTAAGAAGGAATCACTTACACACAAACAAATATCCACTACATGTCAGTGTGACACGTGAATACAGAAACCACCTGCTGGCATGTGCCTCTAAATGCATCCATTAAAGTAGCCTATAACATCTGTAAGAAGGAGGAGAGAGCAGCTCATTTAAACCTTTAAAATATGACCCAAAATGACCATTTACTAAATCTGGTGTTGGTCAAATATCATCAGCAGCTTGTGTTCCGTGACTCAGGAACAGCTGCTGTGTCTGAGATGCTGATTTCCCAGCAGACCATCGGGTGTCTTTGTGTCTCCAGGGTCCCGGTCTGTACTACGTGGACGACCGAGGGACGCGTCTGTCCGGCCGCATGTTCTCCACCGGCTGTGGGAGCAGCTACGCCTACGGCGTGGTGGACAGCGGCTACAGGGAGGACATGGCGGTGGAGGAGGCGTACGAGCTGGGCCGCCGGGGCATCGCTCACGCCACACACAGGGACGCCTACTCTGGAGGGGCGGTCAACAGTGAGTACACGCTGGTTTACATCCACCAGCCAACAACACCCGTCCCACGTTGTCTCCGTCACTTCTCTTTGGTCCAGACTGGTGTCTCCACTATTGGACGGGTTGCCGGGACATTTCAGGACTAATTGTGTCCCTTTGGTGATCATGTGACCTTTCATGTGTCAACATCAAAGGGTCAAAATGTCAACTTGTCCTTTCGTTTACGACCAATTACCTCAAAACTAAGAACATTTGCACGTCATTTGTTTGCTCTTTGGAAACATGGAAATTGACGGACTTTCAAGCGAGAATAAAAACATAAATAACAGTGATGATAATTAAATGAAATAACCAAAGGGGAATCCCTCAATCATTATTGATCAGTGAGGTCTGCAGCATTTTGCTCTGTAACTATAAATTAAACTACATCTATTCTTACATAAACTTTCCACAAAGGCCCTTTAATCCTCTCTGTTCATTATTTTTTTTAACAGCAGTTGGACAACAATTTACCTTTATTTTCACTGCAAATTAAGTATTTCCTCGATTCTGTGTCAAGAGCATTTATGGGGCATTTTTGCTTGTAAAATATATTATGTACAACTGACTGAAGGTTTCAACCTAACATGGAAACAGCAACGATCCTCTATGGTTCCTCAATGTTACTAAATAAATATACTGTAAGTTTCTGCTTTGAAATCGTTTGACATTTTGTGTTCAATGATAAAACATAAAAACGTAATAAATATAATAAATTAACCTAATTAAACAAAAACAACCTCATGCTGATGAGTCGATCTAGAAACTGAAACGTGTTTGATGTCGTTCTCGTCTCCGTCTCTACTGAGACCTCACAAGAGATGCATCAGAAATAAGGGAATAGAGTCATGCAATGTATGTAGTCATGGTCTGTGGCCACTGGAAACCTCTGTGTCCTTACGTGTGTGTGTGTGTGTGTGTGTGTGTGTGTGTGTGTGTGTGTGTGTGTGTGTGTGTGTGTGTGTGTGTGCAGTGTACCACATGCAGCAGGACGGCTGGATAAAGGTGTGTAAGGACGACGTATCCGAGTTGATCCACCGCTACAGGAAGGGAATGTTCTGAATGCTCAGCACTCTGAACACGACTGATGATGCGTTTCGTCCCAAAAGATTCTTTGTCCACTTTTCTAATAGTGATTTTGGAAATGATCCCACTGACGTCTCACAGCAGAGAAATGCTGTAGAAACGTTTCTTTCCTTACACATGAACCTGAACTCTACAGAACCAAACTGTCTCTAAGCTGCTGAGCTCATTGTTTGCTGTTTGTTCTTAGTGATGTAATGCAGGTTCTGTGTGTGTTGATCCTCACGTGCTTCTGTGTAGTAGTTTGTTCTTTGTTAACCAGACATGCTGTTAAAATACTTTCACCAAAACAACACACAGTCCCAAATAAAGCCTGTTGCTCAGCTCCCTGCTGTCCTGTAATGATTGACATGAACTCACCATGAGGACAAATGAGTCAGGTGGTCACATGTCGATGACAATAAAGATATTTAGATTAAAGTATTTTTATTCTTTCTTTATCAGTTTTTCAGTCCTTTTACTGTCAACCACGTTATTTCTTTCAAATAAATCCTGTTGTCCAAGTAACATAAATCTTTTTTCAAATAAATATTAAAGCTATGAAAAATCATTTTATATGCTTGGTGAGGTGGTGACATCATTTTTGTTTTATTATGGTGTGAAATGTGACTAAAACATACAGAAGTGTCAAATCTTTCCAGAACTAAACCTGTTGGGTGAAATGTTCAAAGCTCTCGTGTTCCTGATAACTGGTGACAGTCTGACTATTAAATACATATTATTATTAAATAAACTGGGTCACATCACTTAAGGCAACTTGTACGTGTATATATTTAGGTTGATTACATATTTATAGTTTAATATATAACAGAACAATGACATCATTGTGAGAACGGCTGTGATGTCATCTGTTTCCATGCAGAACAACAACACATATCTTTTGATAAATGAAGTATATCGGTCTGTATGAAAAAAGGTTAACCGCCTTAATCTTCACAGGTCTGTGAGGATGTTTCTTTTCTTTCACTTAAGTTCAACTTTAAAGGTCACAGAATTCCAGCAGTAATGAAATAAAGAATTTTGTTTCAACTCTGCTCCTACTTCTAGTGTTCTTTAATAAATGTCCTGTTACATTATTTATCATTTAGCTGACACTTACATTTTTAACCCATGTCTTTTTTTACATCCCAGTGAGTAATTACGGGTTATGTGTCTTGTACTTCGACATGGAGCAGCCGGGGCTCGTTCCGGTGCTCCCGCTCTACACATGCGCCACCGTCGACCCTCAATGCTGTTCAATCATTTTACACACGTGTTGATGAGGACGGTCTTAATCAATGCGTCTCATGTTTTATTGTCTTGTGAAAAGTAAAACCCTCTTCAGATATCTGTGAAGAATCACTGCTTTGCCCCTAAAATGTTCACTCTTCTTGCTCTTTTGTTGGACGTCTGCAGGTCAAAGACTCGTCCATTTATCCTCAGAGACAACAGAGAACACTGAACATTCAGATCATTGTAGATACTACGACCACAACACGTGCTGATAAGACGCAGGATTTACAAATGTTATTTTGTTACGATAAAATGATCTCAGGCGATGTGAGTCTTCCATTTGCAGCAACTCCCAGCATGCTTTAAACCAGTGAAGTGAAGAACACGACGTTTAGAGTCCAAAGGGAAACAACATGCATGTGATTGTGGCTGCAGTCACAGAGGGGAAGCACATGGAATCACAACAACACACAAACATCTGGAGCATTTATTGAACAGCAGGACAAAGGTACAAAAAGGGGAAATGGAGCAACTTCATTCCACCTTCATCTACAAAACAAGAAGTGATTCAGAGCATCACTGTTCAACTCCCACGAAACCAAGAAGGAAAACATCCCAAATTTAAATAATATGATACTTTAAAAGTGATCAAAAGACATTATCAAACAATAAACATACTGATTTATCCACAAAACCCTCAAATTATTATTTTCTTCAACCTGTTAAATTCAATCTACTGCAAAGAAAAATACAAGCAAACTATTTACACAATCAGAAAATAAATGTTGTTTTAATGTCCATATTTTGTGTGTGTGTGTGTGTGTGTGTGTGTGTGTTTACACGCTTGTTACCAACAAGGATTCAACCCAAACAGCAGAAGTATCAAAGAGTAAATATGGTGGATTTGTTTGAGATGAACACATTAGTCTGTGAGCACTTTGATGCTTTCATTGATTTGAACGTCTCCTAAAATAATCATCCTCGTTTTATTTTAACCTTTTTATTAAAACCAAACTATCCAAATAATTTAAAGTGACTATTGATGTTTCCTCACAGTTTCCAGATGTTCACCAACCCTGATTCAGACGTTTAAATCAAAGATGAGCCATAAATTGACAGTTTATGGAGAAGAATGTGGAGCATCGCTTGTTGATCCAGAGCAACATTCACCCATAAACCTAAAGAGAGAAACAAATACATAAAAGAGAAAACTAAATCATTTACCACAAACTACTTTGACTCCATTTTGATAAACATGTGTTAGTGAGTTCCTAGAAGTTAATGTTAAGAGCTTTGAATATCAGACTTTATCTGAGGAGCTGATGTGAAGCTTTCTGTGTCTTTCTCTTAATAATCTCACGTCTCACGGAACCAAACTGCACCTTTGTTGTAGAAAAAGTCAAAGACTTCTTTACATGAGAAGCTCCTTGTGCTCATACTGAGGGCAGCTTTGTGGAACAGCAGCTGTGAATAGTTCATGTCCACGTGGAGCTACTAACTGTGTGCAGGACGCCGACTTCATGGTTTAGGGTTCAGTTCCTCAGTGACGTCAGAGCCGTCAGTAGTAGCAGAAGAAGAAGAAGAGGGTTTGGCTGAAATAAACAGCAAAGAGAATGTCAGTGTTTAGTGTTCTAACAGCTTCCTCCCAGCAGATACAATCTCAGTTTTTTAACCTATTTCTTCTACTAAAAGTTAAAATTACTTTCAACAACAGCCTGAAGAAACAATTAACTACGTTTAAGTGTCTCAAGTGCAAAACAATCACAGAATTGTCTAAAAGTAAAATGGCACTAAACAATGAATGCAGAATAAAAGCAAATATGGTTTTATAAGTGTGACTGGTGAAAGTTGCTTCAGTGTCTCATTCTGGATAAAAGCATCAACTCAAAGCCTAAAATCAAATGCTCCTCAACACTGTGTCTCTGATCGTCTCTCTCACCGTTCCTCTTTCTGTGAACCTTGAATCCAACCACAGCAGCGATGATGACGACAAGAACAGCCACAGCGATGATGATGATGATGAAGGTGGAGCCAGCAGGCTTCTCTGTGGAGCACAAAACAATCAAAGAGTCTCAAGCTGAACAGATGAAGCAGGTCAGAAGAGAAGAAGATCCACTTATCCAGCAGACCTGAACACACACACCATGTGACGTCATTTCTTTATGCCGTCTGCACATGATGACTGAGACACATATTCAACCTCCTTCCTGAACTTTGCTCTGTCTGATTCACTGATGGATACATGTATTAATACACGTGTTTAATCATTCTGTCTACTCATCTTTAAGTGACCAGTAGTTGTGCGAATGCAGATTCTACAACGTCTGAACTGTGGTGACACGTTACAATAGTTCAGCACGGACTCAAATAAAGCTCTTACCTGGAATGAGTTTACAAAAGGATGAATAAACTTATTTACAGAGAAATGAACCAAATATTGACACATTTATATATTAATCTAGACCAGTAAACAGTGTTCATAACTCTCGCTGTGTTTAATTCTGATCCGAGTCTTAAAATGACTACAAATAAAAACTAGACTAGAAATGTAAGAAAACAAAACTTCCCAAATCTAAAACACACAAAGTGAACAAAGTGGATGTTTGCTTCCCTCCTTCACCGCTCCGGGTCTCAGACCTACCCCTGTTGGTCCTGGTCTTGTCCAGTTTGGTGACGATGTCCTCGTCCACACCAGACAGCTGGAACACACAGTCGTACCTCCTCCAGTCTTCAGCAGGGACGGAGGACAGGTTCAGGTCAACCCTCATCTGGAAGGTCCCGTCGTGGTTGGGGAGGATCTCTCCGAGGTCCACGTCCTCATGGAGCTCCTCTCCATCTTTCCTCCAGAAGAGGGCGGCTCTGTGGGGGTAGAAACCTGTAGCGTGGCAGCTGACTGGAGAGGAGGGAGTCTTCTGGAGGAGAGACATCGAGGGACGCTCTGGAGACAGAAGAGAGGGACAGGTTACATCTTTATTATTATCAATGATATTTAGTGTATTAATATCCTTCATCTTTGATGTATTTAAAATGCCTCTTTAACACTCAACTATGTGTATTTAAGTTTACTAAAAGAATGAAATGTCTTTAAAGTTTCATTGATTAAAGGAGGGAGACAAACAGATGAAAAGGGGTGAGACGGATTGGAAGGGGAGGAGGACAGTGTGTGAGAGAGAGTAAAGAGACAGTGAGACGGACAGAAACACAGCAGAGACAAAGAGAGGATGGAGGGACAGAGTGGGGACAGGTGTGAGGGGGAAGTGAGGGAGGGAGTGTAGTGAAGGAGAGAAGGAGGTGAGGGGGGAGAAATGTGGGAGACACAGTGGGTCTCTGTGTGTCTCTGACATGTTGCTATGAAACAACAGAAGGTTTATGAGCATCGTGTCCACGGAAGGACATCAGGTCATGTGATCCTACCGGTTCTCATCAGAGAGCTCCTCCCGTAGTTCAAGTACTTCTTCAGCCCCTCAGGACACTCATGAGTCAGGTAGTTCTTGTTCTGTGCTATCTGAGCTCTGTTATGATCCCACTTCCGTTTGGTGATGACAGCCTGCTGTTTTGGAGCGATCCATTGCTCTGTCTGCAGGTCAAATGATATGAAGTCTTCTCCATCATAACCATCCTGATCATAACCTTTGACCTCATTGGTCTCATCATCCCATTCACAGCCGACCATCCTCTGGTTAATGTGGACACCTGAGAGAGAGAGAGAGAGAGAGAGAGAGAGAGAGAGAGAGAGAGAGAGAGAGAGAGAGAGAGAGAGAGAGAGAGAGAGAGAGAGAGAAACATATTTGCTTGATAAAAGACTTCAGTCATCATCTGATTATCAACATTCATGTTGATTCATTTTCTGTTCATCAACTAATTGATTCAATGTTTCAACACTAAATATCCTGAATGTTTGTTCTAAACTCACTGCAGTCCACTTTAGTTCATTAACTCTCATCTGTATCATACTCCAGATTTTGGGCTCAAACTAATTATTCTTGTCTTTGCAGATGATGTAATAACTATTTCTAATGAATCCATGAATTGTTCACACTGTAAAATGTCAGAGAGGCTGATGAAACCTTGGAAGTGCTTCTTCAGTGTGAACAACACTGAGCAGTATTTCATTCATCACCATTTCAAACAGACAAGAGGAAGAAGTCGTCTCAGTGAGGAACCTCAACTAGAACATGTTGGACGTCATCTGATAAAACCTGGAATGAAATACTGAAGCATCGACTCCCTGAGCTCAAGTAAAGCTCATCTAATCTAAGCTGGAGTTCTAATCAGGATGAGAGGAAATCTTCTTCATCCTGAACAACACGGAAAAGTATTCATTGTGTTTATATACTTATATTTAGGAACTGGAAGCAGAAAATGTTTCAGTCAAGAAAAGATCTCAGACTGTTTAATCTGTGTGTGTGTGTGTGTGTGTGTGTGTGTGTGTGTGTGTGTGTGTGTGTGTGTGTGTGTGTGTTTATGTACTAATAACATAAAGAATGCAAATACAAACAAAAAGTGTGAAACATAAACAAACCTCCAGTTTGGTTGAAGCGTTGTTTTAGTGTTTCAATGTTGCCTTTGTAGACCTGCTGGGCGCCCATGAAGTTCTCAGTGTACCTCTTCCAGTACTGAGGATCATCCTCTGTGACTCTGCTCATCCAGTCCTGTCTGGGTTCTAGTCTCCTGGTGTTACTGTCATAGTGACTAAACTCAACTTCATCCAGCAGCCCAACAGCCACAAACTCTGGGAAGTTTGGGACTCCAGAGGACGCAGTGTAGAAATACTTCATTGAGTGAGTCACTGGAACCAAAAAGGAATCATCATCAGTTCTGATGTCACACTTTAATTAATCAATAATTATGATGTTTTCCTGCACACTGAATTAAAAAGAAACACAGAACATCAAAGACACCCTGATAACATCTGCCGTGTTTAACAACTCAATAAATACAGAAATAAATGTTTATTTTGATATTTATGATGATTCAGCTTTTAAAAACATTATATTCTAAAATGAAATATTAAACAATTCACATATTCAGATCATTATTTGTGTTTCTGACTTTCACGCATAGAAATCAGTTTGTAAAACCAGATTTATTATTATTGTATAATGTTCCTTATATTGACATTTGATTTGATCGTATCAAATCAAACTGTTTTATGTCATAAATTGTGACCTCAGACGTTTCTTCTTGTGAGGTTTTAAACAAAAACTTTGAAATCTGAGTTTCTTGAAGAGAAGTGGAGACACAAACAAGTTCAAAGGTCATTTATTTGATCTTTTAATTGCTGTTAACATTTTTTATATTCAAATGAAAACGTATTCATTTTGTTGTTGTTTTTTGAGATTTAAATTGTTTGAGTAGAAGGATTCTCCTTTTTTCATTCAACCGTTTAGAAACAAGAAACTAATCTGACCAGTTTGATGTTTATCTCTATATTTAAGTTTAACTATAATATATAGTTAATAGTAAATATCTTTGTGAAAAATTAAAGTATGAACAGAGGGACACAGCATTATATTTAAGAAACTATATTAAATCTGTATCTATTTTAGTTTCTATCGGTATCAGCTGGATGAAAAGAATCGATCAGCACAGGAAAAATGTTTCACAATCTTCATGTCCTCTGTGTCTGAATTCATATTTATGAGTTTTTATTTCAGCACTGGTCACTAAAATGTTTTGTAAATCTGTCAGAGAATAAATATATTTCCTGTTAATACATCAAATACTGCAGAGAGATGCTGGATGTTTGAGGCTGATTCTGATTAATATAGTCTGAATATTAAATATTCAGCTGATAGTATTTTTAATATAAACACATGACCTAAACTCACTGGATTCAGATTGATAAATTGTTGTTTTTAGTAAACGAGATACAAACTAAGAGTTTAAAATTAACTTTTGCTCTTCCGGTTTATTAATGAGCTCAGACTGAGTTTGACATTTCTTCACTTGTCTTTCTTCTCACTCATCAGACAACATGTAAACACCAATATATCTGCGATAAGATAATATCTACAAGTAATATTGATGACTGATTCATCAGCATCAGTGTGACGTCATCAGTGATCTGCCGCGCTACGTCATGCTGCCATGTCCGCTTCAAGAGCGATCCGTCCGTTTAATGTCCCGAAGACAGAGACAGCAGAGTGAGACAAACACGCTTCTGTCCTTCACACAAACTCACGAGAGGAAACACGCGCGCACTTTGACAACATGTGTTACTTTTTACAACTTTGTCTGTCGTCATCGAGAGAGTCCTGAGCTAAACATCAGAGACATCAGAGACACTTCAGCTGATGTCTGCAGCCTATGAAGACACGAAGCGTCTCTTCTTCTACAATCAAACACCTCATTAAACAAAGCGTCAACTCACGTGCTGCAGCGCCGTGAAGGCTCATCATCAGGAGAGACAGAACCGAGATCTCCGCCCCGACAAGTCGCATTTTAACGTCCGCTTGTTTTCAAGGTTTCACTTTCTCTTCAAGGATCAAACGCCGACTGAGGGAGAAGAGGGAGGACCGCTGACTTCAAAATGTGCTGCTACCTCGATTCTGACCAATCACAATCCAGCATTTGCTCTACGTCATCAGTAACTAGGCGGAATCAAAGAAAACAGGTTGTTGTAGGAAGAGAACACTTAATTCAGACTGAACACACAACAAGAGAGATGCGGCACACAATCCTTATTCACATATTATTTACATACATATAAAACCACAATCATATGACTTCTTCTAAAACATGTTCGTTTTCTATAAATTATTATAAATTATATTATAAATTATGACACAAGTGTGTTTCAGTGTCTTCTCTTGTCGTCTTTCAGCTTCCTCCTTTTCATGATTTAATTTATTTACACCAAACCAGAGTCGATGGCAGAATAAGCGGTTCAGTATTACCAAAGAAGATTTGGAAAATTCTTCCTGGGTGGAACCAACAAACTGAGCTCTGCTGCTCCTCACAAGTACATGTTCTAAATATTCAGAGATACTTTGTAAAGCTCCTGAAACACCGTGTAGTCCACCAGGGACGTCCCAGCTCTCTGTTTACAACTATTTAGACCTTTTTAAACTGTAATGTGGCATAAAAATACAACCCTACACATGTGTAAAGTAACATTATTATAAAACCTGAGACTAATGCTGCTGTTATTTACTCAAATAAAACCTATAACATGCTAGTTTGAGTTGCCACTGAGCCACACGCCTCCCTCTGAGAACATCTGCACGCTGCATCTTGTGTGCTCACTTGTTGGACGTGTCAGACACACAAACACGTCTCGCTGTAAAACACACACACACAGTTTATCATTTTATCACATGGAAGTGAAAAATATATATGTTTTTCTATTTTGGGCTATTAATTGTATTATAAAACTAAATTCTCCAGATAGCATTTATTCTCTGGAACAAACAGAAGCAGAGAATCACAACAAATCTTCCCAGAATGCAACCTGATTTATTCTCCCACTTTCTGTCTCTGGCAGTTCACGAGGCCTTTATGGCTGCACCTCCTTCAGGAGTCGGGACCAGTCCCAGAGCGCCTCTGCTGGACACGAACAGCTCTTCCCTCTGTGCCGCTTCTGGGAATCACCTGATGAGGCCGCTGGGTTTCGTTTTGGTGTCTAGTGTGTGACACACAGTTCTGCCACGATGTGCATATTATGACAACTAGATCTCTGCCTGAAGCTTCTTGCCCGCCTCGCTTTGCCACATTCCTCTGGAGACAAAGAAGATACTTTCTGTGGATAAATAATCAAACATGAGCAGTAATAAGGTGTCCAGCTGCCTCTAAACCTACAATACATTTACTTCTTCCAGACTGCAGACTCAGATCTTGCTGTGTGTCTATTTCTATTGTACAAAATACACTAATTGATTCTAACTTTCCTATAACAATAATAATAATTATCAGGTTATATTATGTCCATAAATGAAACCAATAAGGTCACATAAGGACACATAATGCTGGTGACCTGGTTCATTATTTTGTGGTAAAGGGCGCCATCTAGCGGCAGACCTCAATACTTTCTTATTGTCCACCAACTGTTTCTTTCTTTTATAAAAACTGCTGATCGTTGCTCTGTCGTTGAGTTTAGTCGATTTTATTTTCAGTCCGAACTTTACCTTTAATATCGCTGGGCGTTGATAGTGGTGTTTTTATTTTGAAATCATGACCGGAAACGTATATTATTTATTTCTAGCTTGCAGGTGAAAGTGAAACTAAAATGTCACACTTCGTTTGTGTAGCAGCGTTGTCAGACGGCAAAAAGAAGACACAATGATCAACATCTCTACAATCTGCACGCTGTGCCTGGTAGCAGCGGTCTGCTGCGGTGAAGGTGACGTCACGTTAACAGGCTCTCTGGAGTCTTTTATTCAAATGTCTCTCTGCTGTTCTCACTCCAAACACCTTCATTACAAGTGTAACTTTAACTATGCATCTAAAATAGAGTTATATGTCATTATCCATCGGGTTCTTCATGTGCCGAACTAAGCACGACATACATTCACACAATATAATGAGTTAAGCCATTTCCTGTTCATTGCATATTGTTAACTTTAACATAAGTGTTGTTAAATGAAGGTTCATACAAGGGAATCTGGTGTGACGCGTTCAGGGCATCAGCGCCCCCTCGTGGCTGGAAATGTTACCGCGCAGAATCGAGAGGGGAGAGAGATAATCAATACACCGAGATCACTTTAAAGAGTACACAGTTCCAGTGATAATAATAATAATAATCACATCCTTTAGTGTAATGTGATGATATTGCTGTTCCTGATACCGATCCTTTCTTGTGATTGGTCCACAGCCTGCAGCAGCTGTCCCGTGTTGGAGTGCTGGTTTGTGCAGGAGAAGACGGGTCGAGGAGGAGGTCTCGCTGCAGCTACGACCCTGGAGAAATCCCTTCTGCACATCCAAACCGACCCCCACCCTGCAGAGAGCCAGCAGGCTCCACCCGACATCCACCCCGACAGAGTTTACCTCATCACCGGTCAGTTCGGGTGACACGCAGAGCAGCATGTGTGTACATGTGGAGAGGAGAGAGTGTGTGTGTCTGTGTGTAGTTATCTGTTAACCTTCAAAGTCAATCGGAGAGCGTTAAATAGTTATGCTACACAAACGCACCGATCATGTGTATTTGTGGATAGAAGATACCTTTCTTGTTTAATATCTCATCAATATTTGGATATATGAGTCCAATGTTGCTTAATTACACCATTCTTTTCCTCCAGGCTTGAACTTGAATTTCTCAGCCAGGAATTTGGTAAATGATTAAGAAGGAATCAGAAAAGGAAAAAACTATCAGTACACATTTTTTAAGCAGGCATAGTATTAATCTCCCTCTTTAGATTCTCTCTTTTTTAACGTAGCAATAGTTTGAGTATCTGTAAACCTGCTGTTAACCACAACGACCTCCTCAGACCCAGCCGGCACTCTCTGCCACCGCTCTCTCAACCCTCCCAGAGGCTCGGTGGAGAAGCCTCAGTGTGAGATCAACCCCTTCCTGCCGCAGCCCTCCACCCTCAAGTGGGCATCTCCACTCACAGACTCCGCCTTCAGCCCCATCTACCTGCAGGCCGATTGGTTCTCCACTGCCCTCCAGGGCCTCAACGGACAGCTGGCCGTCTCCACCATCACTCGTGCTCCCACGGCAACCAAAGAGCACCGAGGTAATGACTCATGACGCAGGAGACAAGTCCAAAAGACCATTTCTGTTCCACACACTCAAAATGTAATCGACTCTTTGTCTCCTCAGTGGTCCTGAGTGTGACCACTACAACCGTCTCCGTGCAGTCCAGACTCGGGGGGCCAGTGCTGCTGGATTGCGGCCTCTGGGCCGACCCCTCGTCGCCTCTCTCCGGGTCGGGTTTCGCCGTAGAGTGGCGCTACCAGTTCAGAGGGGACGGCCGCTTGGTTCTGGCCTACGACGGCAAAACGGACCGCCTGGCCGACGTCCAAGAGGAGGGGGCCACGCTGGACTATGAGGGCCTGCACCAGAGAGGGAATGCGTCGCTGATCCTGCGGGAGGCTAAAGTGCGTCACTCGGGGCTGTATATCTGCACGGTGTATCTGCCCTACCTCGTGGCTCAGGTGACGATGGAGCTCCAGGTCGTCGGTGAGGGAAACTGCTGGTGGATAAAGACATTTTTCATTTGGAAATGAAGAGTTCAGAAGCTGCTGAAGAACCGAGATTCCATCGGACCACATTGTGATCAACGTTCTCTCACTGTCTCTTTTTGTCTCTGCTCCTCTGCTCTTTTCCCTCTTTTACCCAGAACCTCCGTCCCTCTCCATCCACCCGTCCCCTCTGCCCCTCGCAGTCCCCGGCCAGTCTTTCACGGTCCAGTGTGAGGCGTCCGGCTTCGCCCCCCTCGCCCTGGAGCTGAGCTGGGAGTTCAAAGGCACCGATGGGAAGTCCAGGCCTCTGGGGTCGGGCAGCCTAACGGGACACCGGCAGGCCTGGGACGGAACCTACAGCCAGAGCACCCGGCTGGAGCTCGACTCCGCCGAGCTGGACCTGGGCCGAGGGGGGGAGGTCACCTGTGTGGCCGTCCATCTCGGGGGCACACGGCGGGCCAGCGTGACCCTCAACGTCATTGGTAATGCTGAAGAATGTACTGAGTCATTCGTTAAGCTTGTTTAGTGGACTTTGTTTAATAAAAAGAGGCCAGGTGGGGATTTTTCTGTTGGTTGAATTAGAAAAGGAAAGTAAGTGAATGTAAAACTTGCAGAAACATTTCAACACATCTGCTATATGCGATGGAATATAAAATAAATGACTTGAATCAAGCTCAACCACTAAGATGGACGTCAACGTGCAGGACGTATTTAAGGCTTGAACTCGTCTCTCGTCCTGTCAGGGTTCAGCTCCCCGTCCATCGAGGACTCCATGGCAATGGTCGGTGTAGCGCTGGTGCTCTACGGTCTCATCAAGTTTGTCTCTTGGACCGTCACCAGCTCAGGTAACAAAGGACGCCGACAGAATGCCACGTAATGAGCTAATAATTGATTGACCCATTTATTTATTTGAAACTACCAGACAGGTTGATTCTGTCTCAGTATTTTCATTTAATAAGATTGATGAAGATGTTTTTAATCCATTTGTGTCTTTTCACTGCACACAGGCTCAGATGAGGCTGGTCAACGAGAAAAGGTAATGATACTTTTTAAACTATTAACTAATCACAAATGTATCATTCTGGATGCTTCCACACAGACCACTGGTCCACTCATACGCTTTTATAACCCTGGAACCTCGTAGTTGTTTTGTACGTCTCAGTTCAATAACGACTTCTACTGCTTCCACTTACAGAAGGACAAGTAAAGAAGACTGAAATCCACTGCTGGGACGTGTGAAACAGAACCAACCGAGCCGCCTGTTTTTGGTTCTACTAAGGCATCAGTGAGGAAGGCTTCGGCTCAGTCCAAGAATGTTTTTTGTTTCTTATTGTTGTTTCTTGTTATGTCTTTCACTTTAAAGCGATACAGCTGTTT